TGTTAAATAGCTCTAATATCACCCTGTCCACCTTTTAGGGTTGCTGTAAAGTTATTTAATATAATGTGTGTAATATGTCCAGCACACCCTAGGCATTCAATAAATGAGATCAGGTACCATGCTTGATGCTTTAGAATGTGGCTTAGACCCACCAAGACCCCCAAGAAGTCTCTAAAGTAGGCACTTGAAGGCCCTGAGGTTCATTCCAACCCATATATATATTGTATTTTTATCAAATCCTGCACATATTCCTATGGAACAACTGAGACATCCCATTGGACCCAATGAACTGTCCCATTTATTCTCCTCCTTCTTTAGAGAAGGACCTATTGGGCCTCCCCTGGTGGCGCAGGCAGTTGAGTGCCGCCCTGTGAAGCTGTCTGCAGCCTCTGCAGCGCTGGTTCGATCCCGCCAGCCAGAGAGGGTCCCACATGGTGCGGCAGACCTCTCCTGGCTCGCCCGCTGCTCCCCTCAGCAGTGTATTTCGTCAGTCTGCCTGTTCTGTTCCCCGCTCTGTCTCTGGTGAAGCCTCCCACTCTCCTGCGCATCTGGCCTGTACCCCGTTCTTGTATAAATAAATACATAAATCTTAAAAAAAAAGAGAGAGAGAGAAGGACCTACTAAGGTAACTTGTGGCAGGTCAGACCTTCAAGATAGTATCGCTAGGAACAGGTAGAGTGGGGTCGCAACATAGCAGATGACAGTGAGCTCAGACCAGCTGTTATTTTCCTTTTTCAAACAAGGCCTTAGACTTTTGTGCTCAAAGCTTGGGTCCAAAGTTAGAAATCTTACCAACTTCAATTTCAAACATAGATGATGCTCAATGCTCTTCTCACTGGCCCCTGATCCTGGAGTTCCCTGCCTTTCCCCAGTTTATGAAGAAGTGGCCATGAAACTTCTAAAGCCACAGAATGTTCACCAGTGTGACTTGTTCACCAATGTGTTTCTCAGATCCAGTGCAGTGCCTTGTAGTGTAACATGCAATAAATATTTGTTGAATGAATGAATGATTCTTTCTCAGTATCCAGTTGGTGCTTCATAAAGCCCTTTCTTCCCCTCCCTCAGAGCTCACTGTAGCTTTGCCAGCCTCTTGGACTCCAACAGTGCTACCATCTGTGCCCGTCCTTTGGCAACTAACCAAACGCAACACAGTTCAATTCAACCAACTTCCATGGAGCTGCACTATTGGCAGGAAACACTCAGTCTCAAGGAATGGTAAAAACATTTCCTAGCTCATGGCGCCTCAATTGTACTTTTAAAACAACCTTGGCATGAAATAAGACCTTTTCCAAGACTTTCTGAAAGTCTAAATACATAATTATAAATGTCTTCCCTTTGTCAACAAGCTTGATCACCATTCAGGAAATAAGTGAGCTCCGGAGGATGGATAAAGAGATGATTATTTGACAGGTATGGGGCAGGTGTAGACTGGGGGTGGAAGGGTGGGAAGGAATGAGACCCAGTCCTTGTCTGATGGATTTGCAGTTTCATTAGATGGGGTTGGCATCTCAGCCATTCAGGGCTGGTCTGTGACTGCGACTTGAAGAGATGCCCAGCAGCCCCTTGAGTGAAAAGAAAGCCAGAATCCTCCACACACCTGTTGTTTTTTTTCTGAGGGTTGGGCCTTTTTAAATTTTATGACTATTCTCCATTCCTGTTTCCACCCCTTCTACACATCTCCCACTCCCCATGCCAGTCTTCTGCAAGTTGGCAATTAATGCTTTTTTTTTGTAAATGGAATTAGAGTTAGTTTTGTATGTGTTTATTAAAACATTATTTTTAATAGCAAATCCCTAGAGATAATAGAAATCTTCCAATAAGGATTAATTTAAATAAATTATGGTAGATCCAGAGCCTGGAGTACCATGTATACAATAAAATGGTGTAATAAGAGGTAATTGACATGGGAAAAATACACAGTATGTTAAGTGAAAAAGATAGGCCACACGCAGCGGTTGAGCGCTGGGTTGCGAAGCTGCGCGCGGCCTCTGCGGCGCCGGTTCGATCCCCGGCTGCTCCCCGGCCACCAGAGGAGGGTCCCACATGGCGCGCAGACCTCTCCTGCCGCCCACTGCTCCCCTCAGCAGTGTACTTCGGTCCTTCTGCCTGCTCTGCTCCCCACTCTGGCTCTGGTGAATTCTCTCGCCCTCCCGCGCTTCTGACTGTACCCAGTGCATGTATAAACAAAACAAACAAACAAACCAGCAAACAAATAAATAAAGCATGCCTCTATAAAAAAAAAAAAAAAAATATTTAAAAAAAAAGATAGGCCACAAAGCAATGATGTGGGGTGAATGTGTGCAAATGTGTGCAGCACATGTACATGCTACTGGTAATCTTTTTCCTTGGTTTATTTTTGTGTTTTCCAATTCTTCTGCATTGAGAACTACCATTTGAGTTAGGGCACCATTCCGAGGGGCGTACTGTAAAGACCCGGGGAACACAAACAGGGTATCTAGCAAGGCTTTGTTCAGTCAGTGGAATTTGAGGAAGATGAAAGGCACAGAGTATTGGAGAGAAACTCTGGGAACTTGCTTTGGGGAGGAGTGCAAGGCGAGGAGATGGTGTCTATTGGTGGTAAGGACTTAAGGCCCACTAGGGAAGGCTGGATCCCATTAAAGAATCAATGGGGAGCAACTCTGGGTCCCTGAACATAAGGGTGCACTGATAGAAGTAGTGTTGGAGGAGAATTATTCTTGCCACCACACAGTGGATTGGGTTGTAGGCGGGAAGATCTGCCAGAAAACTCTGTTTGCCTATTTGATCTGAGGTAATGAGAGCTTGCATTAAGCTTGTTGCAATAAAACCAGAAAGGAAAGAGTGGATGGATCTGAGAGACATTAGCAAGAAGGAATCAGACCCAGAGAATGAAGTTTGACTGAATATATGCCAGGTGGTAGGTGAAATCTTGTAAGGAGACACTTTCCAAGGAAATGGATGTTAAGAGAGAATAACTGAGGATTGAGTCTTCAGGAATTCCAAGAGTTAATGGGAGAAGGAAAGAAGAAGAGCCAGAAAAGGAGACAGAGAATGATGGGTCAGAGAGATAAGAAGAGAAACTTGAGAATGCAATGCCATGAGAGCCAAGGACAGTTACAGGAAGAAGTGGGTGGTTGATGGTATCAAATTTTTCCTTGAGGTCTGAGATGCAAACTGAACTGAGACACTTGAATTTGGCCAGGGGGTCATTGGTGAACTCAGAGAGAGTGGTTATTGCAGAAAGTGCTGGCTTCTAGAAGGTTCCAGGGAAGGGAGAAGTAGGGAAATGGAGGCAGCACATGGATACCACCCATGTAACAAGAATAAGTGAGAGTGAGGAGTGAGAGTTAGGAGTGAGAAGAACCAAGTCAAAGTTTACCATTCTGTCCTGCTACTTAACCACTTGAACTTGTTTCTTCTGAAAATGGGAATAATGCTACTATTTCAAAAGGCTGTTGAAAACACAACATAACGTTAAAACATAATGTTCATGGTATGTTGAAAGGGCTATTTCTTTCACCCTCTCTACCCAGACAATGTTATAGATTCTGGGCATGTTTTAATGGATAAGTGGAGTCTTCTAGCTTAACAGTCCTGTCCCTAGGTTGGTACTGCTTTGTGAATTGCCTCACTGTGTCCTGTGGCATCTGTCCTGCTACTTCACATGAACAATTCTTTCCTGAGCTCCTCAAAGGCAAGGGCATCAAGGTAAAGTCATTATGAGGGAGTCAGTGGTCACAGACAGGTGGAGTATCTGTGATACCTGGGTAGAGGCTGTTAAGACCCTGGATATCATTTGGTGCAGACCTCACTCAAATACAAAAGGCTGCAGTCCCTGGATGGTTGGCTGAAGGTGGCTGGGGCAGAGCCACCAGAAAACCTTCACTCATGGTACATGCAGATCAAAAGTCCAGCCTGTGCCCAATAGTCTTGAACAGGCAGCTTGATATTCAAGGTGTGCACAAAGGCATGTAGTTTTCTTTCATGCTTTCTATTCTCATTTGGTAACTGTGTGCAACCAGACCTGACCAGCATGACTTTCTGGCTTTCCTGCTCACTGTCTACAAATCAGAGGACTGATTTGTACAAATCAGTCCTCTGATTTATAGCCTTTTCCTTCATTATGCTCAGTCTGTTTCCAGTTTAACATACTGAGCACAAGAAGGGTAAATGTGGTAGGGTAGAGGCACTGGAGCTTTGATGGTGGGTCAGTGGCCTTTTAAATGTCCCTGCTCCTTTCACATGGAGCAGAGAAATGTTGTTTTCATTCCTGGGAAGATGGCTTACCCACAGAACACGTGGATGGCTCACTCACATGCTAAGATGGGTGGGTACCCCCGAAAGTATGACAGTGGATCAGAGCAGGGGTACCTATGAGAAGGCTGGTATTATTCTCTGAAGCCTTTTTGGTAGACCAGGGAGTCCTGCTTTCATCTCTTGCAGGTGCCCAGCCCTCCAGTCACCAAATTTGGCCTGGGCATTTTTGGAACAAGATGCTCTCCTGGGGCTCGAAGAGCGAAGGAGGGCTAGCAACACTGGCCAAGGCCCTGGTCTGTGGGAGTAATTGCCGGAAGAGGCAGACCAGACTCAGCTTCTGCGCTACTGAAGCTCCTAGGCCCCGGGGCCAGGGCCCGCCTTTAGGGGCCAGGGCCCGCCTTGGGGGGGCCAGATGCTGTATCTGGCCCAAAGCCGGGCCTGCAGGGCAGGTGGCCAGTACTTGGAAGGAATTCTCTTTGGCCTCCCAGGGTCCGGGCTTGGCCCCAGCAAGCTGCCCAGCCAGCCTGTGCTGCCTCGGGCCTCGCGCATTCCGCGCCCCCGCCCCCTCCGCCCCTCTCCCGGCCTCGCCCCCTCCCTTGTCCCCTTCTCCTCCCCCCGCCAGCTGTCCCCTTTCCCTGGAGCGGCCAGACAGCCGGAGCCTGGGAAGAGGCGGCCCGGGCCGGAGGGGGCGTGGTGGGGAAGGGGAGGAGGAGCAGGGGTGAGGGGATAAGGAGGCCCGGGCGGCGGTGCCCCCAGCCACTGAGCCGCCCGCCGGGGAGCTGGGTGCCTCCGCTGTCACTCGCTCGCTCGCTCGCTTGCTTCCCCTCACTCAGGGGGAAAGGTCACCTGCGTCCTGGAGCCGCCTTGTCCCTCCCCGACAGCCATGAATTGCAGTGAGAGCCAGAGGCTGCGAACCCTCCTGAGCCGCCTGCTGCTCGAGCTGCACCACCGGGGCAACGCCAGCAGCCTGGGCGCCGGCCCCGGCCCTAGCATGGGCATGGGGGTGGTGCCTGACCCCTTCGTGGGCCGCGAGGTGACCAGCGCCAAGACCGACGACGCCTATCTCTACATCCTGCTCATCATGATCTTCTACGCCTGCCTGGCCGGAGGCCTCATCCTGGCCTACACCCGCTCCCGCAAGCTCGTCGAGGCCAAGGACGAGCCTTGCCAGGCCTGCACCCAGCACGAGTGGGCCCCGGAACGCGACCCGGACGACCCCGAGACGGCCACCGGCTCTCCAGCACAGGGCCGCCGCCAGCCAGCCCCTGGGGGGCTGCCCACCCTCAGCCAGGGCACTGAGGGGGTCTAGAATCAGGCTTCGCTTGCTTGCGCGCACCCTCCTTATCTCGCTAATGCCAGGATGCGCGCCGGTTCCTTTCCTCCCCTTCTAGGGTTCACCTCACCTGAGGCCCAAACAGTGATGAGAGGCTAAGAGACCTGGTCCTGAAAGCCCTGGAAGAAGTACCACCCTGTCCCACTCCTGGCTAGTTTCTCTCTCGCCTAGGCCACCCCCCCCAACCCCGCACATCCAACTGCGCTAAACTGCCTCTGCTTTCTTGTCTTCAGCTAGCCCTGACACCATGCCCCAGCCCTCTGGGAACTGAATCCAACGCATCCAACACTTGGCTTTGAACTGAAGCAATGAAGTCGATCAGAACTCTGGGCCGTCTGACTGGCAGCTGCTCCAGGGACTGCTCACCCTGCAGAGCCAACAGGCTTGCCATCTTTGCCAGGCCGGCTGCAGCAGCTCCAGCTTCCTGTTGCCTTAGGGACAGAGACAAAGAAAAAGAAGACATTTCAGACATCTTTCTCCTCCCTCCTTCTTTCAGCAGGGAGCTCGCAGGACGCTAGGACCAGGCTGTGGGCTAGAATGGACTTAATGGGGAGGGAAAAGGGAGGGAAACTTACTGGGAAGGGAGAAACCTAAGACCCCCCCCCCGCCCCCCAACTGTATTGTCTTGCATCTAGTTGTCCTCCCAAAGGTAACTTGCCTGATTTGTAGAAGCTTTGCCATCTTTCTACCATGGGTAATCATTGCTGGGTACATCACCCCAATACTTCCAAATGCCTCTCCTGTGTTGATTCAGTGCTTCTGGCAGCTGCCTGCTTCACCCCTGGAACAGGAGGCTCAGAGGTCCCCTGCTGTGTAACCCGGGCAATGTCAGAGGCAGGTAATAAAGGTTGTTTAAACAATAACCTAAGACTCTTTCTCTCAAAGATCCTAGCCTTGAGACCCAGTGCTATATAGAGAAGGAATCCTTTTTTGCTTTTGGAAATGGTGCTTGGATTTGGGGTTGGATTGTTGTGATATCCTGATATATCCGCTTCCAATACAGTGAATGTGAATAAGGTGAATGTGATTGTTGGTGAGAGAAAGGTTTACATGGCAAAATGTTTTTTTTCCCCCCAAGTGATTCAAAGGTTATAGCTGCTTTACTACTTCCGTTAGTTTTGAGGCAATTTCAAATATAACAATGCTAGTTAAGAATTCCTCACTTTCTTTTGCAAATTTTGAGGGTGCACTTATATAAATACCCTTTGTATACTCATCACTAGTAGTTACTATCAAAGTTACATTTTAGAAGCTACCTTCATAACTCTCTCAAAGGAGTGGCTTCTGAAAAGAGAAAACACCAAATAATGTAAATCTTAAGTTAGAGAGAAAATGCTTGAATTAAAAAATCATAACCAGTGATGGGTAACTTAGAGATATGTCTCCAGAAGGTCATGGGTCATCAGAAACTTGGATGCTGTTGGCTTAAATATTATACCCGATGATAGTTGTTTGGATTTCATCAAACACACAAAATCACCTCTTAGCATGAAGCCAACTTGCTCAAATACAGCTGTTTCTCAGTAATGCCAGGACAAAGATATTCTGAGCCACTTAAATAAATCAGTAATAGTCAAACCTCACTCAAGACATGGGTTTTGACCTTATAGACCATCTAATATTTTATTGGAGCTATTTGAATTTACTTTTATTCCCAGGATTCTTCCTTGAATATATACTAGCATTGCCACACTGGCTTCTCCCCAGTCCTAGTTCCAGTTCTAAAGTTGACCCCTCGCCTTGCAGGTGCGATCCAGGGATTGGGCATCAGTCCAGAACACAACAGGAAGACTGGGGTTGCTATGAGAACCATCTTAGGGCCAGGCAGGGACACCTGAGTGGGATGTAGAGGGAGGACATGGATATTCAATCATGCTTGGAGGGTTGTGGGGAGCCAGTACCCAGGCCTGTATTTCAAGGAGAGCAATGCCCCTCATTTATCTGGCATAATAAGGAACACAGATAGTTTTAATACTGAATCATAATCACTGCTTTAGCTGTTGAAATTTTTTAAACATTTGTACCTTTTTTTCATAGACATTTAAAAAAAATTGCCAAAAAATGATAAAGGAAGCTGGAAGCAGTTGGGACAATGTCAATAATAAACATTAATGTGCCAGCTGCAGGAAATAAACCTCATTGCAAAAATATCCCTGCCTTAAAAACATGTTAACCTTTTCCTGATGATTAGGGTAGCCATTATGAACATGTAGTGAGACTAGCTACAGAACTCTCCCAGTGAGAAAAGTGAACTGGCATGGGGAGAGCAATTTACTTCACCACTCAATTGCTTTTTACAAACACTTTCAGGATTGTAACTGTGTCCCAGATAATCAAGGCTCCCAGAATTTTGGACACTCTGCTCTGAACCAGCCAGTGTGTATGGGGGTCAACAGCACTGAAGTGATCATATCATGGTCAGCAAAAGATAGAAGAAAGAAAAACTAGGGGTTCAGCCAACCAGCAGTTCTGAGAATGTATTCCTGAATAGCATGGGCTGGCTGTACGAATTGGGAAAGTGTTAGCTTTGACTTAATGTGATTCTGATAAATGAGAATCATTCTTTTTTTCAACCCACTCAGTAGGCAATTTCAAATATAACAATTTTTTCCGTTCTGTGTAAGCAGATCCTGCATCAGTTCAGGTTCAGATCTTTGCTCCTGAACAATAATGAAGAAGATACATACTTCCTTACTTGTGATTTTACTTGTAACTTGAAGCTTCCAGCAATGCCAGATTAGGAGAAGTTTTAAGTTCTGATGTCTGGAAGTGCTTGCTGACAGTGCGGAAAGAAACGGAAGCTTTTCTTTCATTACAGACACAATTCTGTGTTGTTGATTTCACTTTTCTAGAGGGATATAAATGAGGTCTTGCATTTGTAGTTGCCATCTTTTCCTTTTCATTTTTCCATTGCTTTTATAAATCCAAGATCTGCATGAGATTTATATCTACAAAGAGAAAAGGGACTGGGTTGCTTTCCTAACAATCTTGCCTGATGGCTAAAGCAAATGCACTGTGGTGTGGAGAGAGCGCAGCCTAGAAATCAGAACTGGAATCCAACCCCACTTAGCCAATTAACAGGCTTTGTTTCTCAGGATAAGCTGCTTAAACCCCTTTGGGTCCACTTGCACAGCTGTGGAATTTGAGGATCAAGTGAGATAACATGGAAAGGGCTAGGAGAAGCACAGAAGTATAAGGTGTTGGGTTTATATTTTCAGTTTTCCTAGTTTGGGGGTGTGGCCTTGAAGTTGTGTGGAGGGAGGAGGAAGAGGAAATCCTCCACTATGTAGAGTCTAAAAGAAGAGGATTGCAAAGATTTGGTGACTAGCTCTCAGATTCCTGAGCCTATCTTCCCTATTCTCAGAACCTTAGATAACTAAGAATCTGTGCATAACTCTGTCAATATGCTACTCTACTTCCTTTTACCCTTATGCTCTTAAAAGTATGACAAAAATACCGTATTTTCGGGGACCGAAGTCTCAACTTTAATAACACAGATCAGGGATTGATAGAGGACATAAGAAAAGAGAATGAAGGGAAAGAGTCAAAGGCTGTGGGATTCATGAGGGAAGTAGGAAGAGTAGCAATCTAGAATGTGCTATGAAGGCAAAGGAGCATAACCTTAAGTATGCCAGGGGGAAATAGATTAGATTGGGCAATAGCCAAACCAACGTCAACTTGAACCACCCATCAATATGTTTTGGGAGAAGACATGGAATGGCAAGTCACTTTGCAGCCCTCTTTTGTTGCTTAACACAACCTACAACCCTTTCAGGAAGACAATGTGATTAAGGGGCTCAGAGCATGGTACCAGGCAACCCAGCCAGTTTACCTTCAGCTGTGTTCTGAGGGAGGGCAGGGTCTTGGTAAAGGCTGTGGCCTGGGCCTCTTCCTCTGAAAAGAATGTAGTCAGAGTAGATGGGGGGCGGGGGTGGATACTTTAGACACTTTTAAAAAAAGATTTGTTTTATTTATTTATGCATACAAGAGCTGGGGTGCAGGCCAGAGGTGTGGGGTGAGGGGTGGAGAGGATCCACCAGAGACAAACTGGGGAGCAGAGCAGGCAGATTAACTGAAATACACTGCTGAGGGGAGCAGCAGGTAAGACAGGAGATGTCTGCTGCGCCATGTGGATAGCTCCCTGGCTGGGGATCGAACTTGTGATGCAGAGGCTGCCAATAGCTTCATAGTGCTGTGCTTAACCCCTTGCGCCACCAGGGAGGCCCTTTAGACACATTTTTTTAAATTATCATAAAATAACGTACCAAAAAATTTACTACCTTAGCCATTTTGAAAGTTGACAGTTCAGCAGTGTTAAGTACATCCACATTGTGTCATAGTGTGCTCTTAAGTCAGACTTAATCATTTCTCCAGATGACGTCCCTCCGGGGGCATTCACATTTTATCATAAATCACTTAGGAACCCCAAGGAAAAAAACTTTAGTTGTGGAACTCAGTGGAAACTGGATGGAGAGGTATCTTGAAATGTTCATGTTTGTTGGGGAAGGTGCTTGCCACCGCTTCTCAAGCCTCATCCTTGTTTTACAGCCACATGTTCTAGGAATCCTGGGGAAGACTAAGTTGGCAATGAATGACGGGATTGCTGTAGGAATTCGCTGAATTCCCTCACACCTGACCCACAAGATGTCCATTCATGAAAACACCTCAGGTCCCTGGAAGGTCAGGGGCCTCCCCTTGGCTCTTTTTAAGATGTAGATGTGATCTAGTAGGTCTTGTAGCTCCAGCTGGCCTGGAAGAGAAAGAATAGAGACAAGTGGCCTGTTAATTTTGTTCTCTTCAGTTTTTCCTCTGGGGCTCTGTGGTCAGAACTAACCCTTGAAAAAACAATAGGATTGGTATTTATCTCATTTCCCCTTTTCTTGTTTCAGTTTTCCCTGCTATCCCCGTCCAAGTCCTCCAAAATTGTTCATTCCTTACTGCCAGGGGTACACCACCACGGCGATGATCTAAGGAATGTGTCTTTAGTGGTAGCTTTCTGATACTGGTTTGGGGGAAGAACTGTGACATGGGGGCTTGGCCCAGGACTATCAAATTTGATGTGACTAAGGTCGCTCTGCAGTGCCTTTGTTGTGGTTAGCTCCACTTCTAGGGGTGACTGGAAAACTGCAACTGTCGGCCATCAAGGAGGGAGTCTGCATTTCCACAAGAGTCTGAGAATGGGGGATAGGATGAGGATGGGCATGGGAGAGACTGGATGAGTCAGGGTTGTGAAAGAAGGCCTTGGCCTGCTCCCTAGTCAGTCCTCTCTCTATTGGAAGGTGAACTTGGCAGATAGGACACCAAACAAGAATGGCTGAAGAGACTGGTGGGAGAGACATTAGAATGGATACCCTGAGAGCTGTAAGGATCAAATTCTTATCATTTTCCTGCCCTATACATCTGTGCCAAACCAAAGCCATTCCAAATGACAGTCCTTGCTGGGAGGAGGATTCTCTGGAATCAGCTGAATTAGTCTCCATCCCAAGTCCCAAGTAACTGGCCCTGTCCCTTGGAAGTTTGGGCTTTCACTTTACAAGTCCAGCAGGCTGGTCATTTCAAAGGCCCCCCACCTCTTCACTTTCTCCATCGTGCACTAAAGCACAATAGTGCAGTGCATAAAATAGGGACACTAGAGCCAGACCACCTGGGTCCAAATCTATGATCTACCTTTCACCCTCTGGGTAATATCATGAAAGTTACTTAACCTTCTCCAAGCCTCCTTTTCCCATATATAAAATGGATACAAGAAATAGTACCTGCTTTCTGGGGTTGTTGGGAAGATTGAGTAGTTAACATGGTGCCTGGCTTGGGGTACGTGTTCAGTAAATGTAGCTGCCAATCTTGCCCCAATC